TGGTGCTGTCTTAGAACTTTTCACCTGTTTCTAGGTTTCCTTCCCTGTCCATTTTGCACACATTTGCGTGTCATTCATTCAGAAACATTTGTTGTTGCTCTGACGTGCAAGGTTCTGCTATCTCCTAGGGTGTACATCAGTGGAGCGCACTTTCTCCCGGAGGAATCAAGCAATGACCGTGAATTACAATTGTAATACGTTTGGGGACAGGAAAGCATCAGAGGCTTTGTGATGGAATAGCATCAGGGATAGCCGGGAGGTTTGATTGTCCACAGAAAAGAACTGAGGGAAGCAGAGGAGGAATTGTTTCTAGTCAAGAGGCCCTGAGGTAGGAAGGAACCTGGTGCAGACAGGGCAGCAGAAGATGGGCATGATAGCTGACACACCCCCAGGGGCACGGGCCCATGATGCAGAAGATGGGGTGGGATGAGGTGAGGGGCAGGGCTTGCTGCCTGGTCTGCTACGCTCAGAGCACTGCTCTGTCCAACTCTTCTCTGGCCGTAAGTGGCAAGCCTCGTTGCTTTCTGAATAAAATCTAGAATCTTTAGCACTTCAAACACCCCCCCACCACCCCCACCCCCCGGTTTTTTTTCTTTTTCCTTTTAATACAAATGAAGGGCCAAGGAAGAATGTTTGCCCCAAGTAGACACATAGCTAGGATTTAGGGCTGTGTGTATGGACCCTTTTGTTTTATTTCAGATTTCGATGTTTTGTTTTAATGAAAGTGCCTATTTGGGCCTTTTGAGTGGACATTTCCACTATGAAGAGAAAAGCTAAAAAGACAGATTAAAGGAGGTTTAGAGACGGTAATACCAAGATGAGATTTCTACTCCCCTCCTTGTCCAGATCACCCTCTGACGTATTCCCCTGACTTCCTGCAAATTGGAAGCCACTTGCTTGGCTGGCCAGCTCAGAAATCCTAAATTTGTTACGATGTTTTTCTTCCCGGACTTAACTTGACTTGCACACCGTAAATGCTTGCTCAATATTTGCGTGGCTACAGGTGAGCCTTTTCAGTAGAACATCCTGCCTCTGCAGTCAAGCTGTCCTCTGGCCTGGGTTTTACAACCATGGGCATACCCTTTTTTTGGCGATGATCTGCTGAGCATTGAGATGGACATACTGGGTTTTACAAAAACCCTTGTTTCCCATGTAGAAGTAAATGACCCATGCAATTTAATGTGCGTTCATCTCAACACCTTCCAAAGCGGGCTCAGTGACTCGGGTCAGAGCCATACACCAGTGAAAGAGACAGTGCCTTTCCAAAGGCTGGGGAGAGGTGCGACGGTGAACGACACAGAAAGTGGGCTGCGTGTGTAGTCCTCTGCGCCATATGGGCATTCCGGCGGCGCATGCTGACTTACATGGAGCGGCTTCAGTAAGGGTGTGAGAAGGGAAAGGAAAAAGTGTTGGCATTTGTCACAGACCTATGGAAGCTCCTTTGCGTGGTGTGATGAGACTTAGAGCACCTAAGAGTTCAACTTGTAGTCATTTTGTATATCGAATGATCGGTTCTAACACTGATGCCTTTGCGGTCTTCATGTGGTCTGCAGTGAACACCACACATAAGTGCTCTTGCTGACTTGTGACGGTGCCCGTGTGTTCTGTGTGTTCTTTTACAGCCTGATTTTCCCTACAAAGATGACCTCCTGGCCTTGGACTCCAGCTGCCTCCTGTTCATTGTTCTTCTGTTCTTTGTCTTTTTCATCATCTTTAAGGTGAGTTGATGAGTCAGTCTTCTGAGGGCCGGTTAGCCTGTGACGGTGCCCCCCTGAGCCTTTGACCCAGCTGCTTCATGGGTTGCGGTAGCTTGACGATTTATTGTCACAGTGTTTACTGTGGCACAAGGAGCAGAGGTGATGCTTTGGGGATTTCCAGAAGGTAGTTGGCAGTGTCTTACCTTACTCCCTGCTATCAAATCCATGTGGACTCAGCAACCCTGTACAGCAGGGTGGAACTGCCCCTGTGGGTTTCCAAGATTGGAACTGTGTATAGGAGGAGAAAACCCTGGGTGTCTGTCTCCCTGACAGTGTCTGGAACTTTCCTAAGTGGAAAGAATGTCATTATGAATTTGGAAGTGGTTCATGAGTTGGAATGGAGATCCACAAGTCCTGAGGCTCAGCAACAAAGATTATCTTCTGCAGCACAGTGGTTGACAGACTTACTTGAAACCCAGCTCTGGTTTCTCAGTAAAATGGTGCTAAGAAAACCTGGGTCATGTCGATCAAAGAAACTGCTTAAACTCAGGGTCAAAATCTCATATGAGATTGCATGGGAATGTGGGGTCTGCTTGAAATTTGACAACAATAAGGTTTCTGAACATGCTTTAGCCAAAGACTTAATTCAAAATCAAACTTGTGATGGATTCACGGGCTTTCTGGCAGTGCGTGTCCATGTTGCAGATTGTCCGGTGAAAGGGGGTTGACAAATGGGCAAAACTTCGGAAGCCCTGCTCTACGGGGCGGCACGTGTAGAGAAGAGTTGGCTTTTGCTTTGTCTACTGTCAGTATCCCTCTCCATTGAGAAGCCGAAGGAAGGCATCACGGTCACCTGAATGTGAGGGTCCTGCAGACACAGCCCGTTATGTTGCTAGCATCCACAAACACCCTCTTCTTCCTCTTTCAGGCCTATCTAATAAACTGTGTCTGGAACTGCTATAAATTCATCAACAACAGGAACTTGCCGGAGATTGCGGTGTACCCTGCCTTTGAAGCACCTCCTCAGGTTAATGCCCTTTTCACACCTTACAGCTTCATTCGCGTGATTGATGGGTTCTGAGAAAGAAGCTGGCCCTTGCCTTGCTCGTTTGCACCATGACTGCGCCTTGGGGATAGCTTGGGTCCTTAAGGTCAGCGTTTCCCCCTGGGATCCCGGGTGGGCACTGTGCTGGGTATGCACTGGTCCTTCGTCTACCTTACCCGTTCATGCTTGGTTCCCAAGTGGCTTCCAGGAATAATGTGTGGGAAGGAGAGAGAAGACAGGAAGTAGAAGTACGACTCATGCCAATCTAAGGATGGGGGATACCACAGACTGAAAATTGTGTTTTCTTTGGGGGGAAGAAAAACACATCAGCATTCCTATGAACCCAGGGGTTACTGATTTTTCTGTGGGAGAGAGAAAGCCAGTGTGTTTCATGAATCTGAGGGGAGTTCCTGAATTATTACTGAAGTCTTTTCTCTCCCCTCGGGTTCCGCATGTGGGATACGTGTGGCTCATAGAGGGCTGGTCTGTCATCCGGGTAGATTGCTGCTTTCTTGCCTCGCTCTGTCCTTTGCTCTCCAGATCGTGGGTAGACGTCCCTGATCCTTGCTAACTACAGACAGGCTGCTCTGGTGAAATGCGGGACATAGCATCTTACTGAGTGCTTGCTGTAGCATGGGGCAGGTGTCAGGCGGGACCCCTTCCCTCTACCAGGAACCCCCAGGTGTGAAGGCACTGGTCCTTTGTCAGTCACCTTGGAAGAAGGGCAGAACCAGTGGTGGCTACTTCCCAGCAAAGACTCCATACAGCCTCAGGGCCAGATCAGAAGCAGAATTCTGCCTCCTGCCCTCCCTTTCTGCCTCCTGCCCTCCCTTTCTGCCTCCTTCCCCGCCCACCACCCCTCCCCCCAGCCATCCCTGGACCAGCTGCAGGACAAGTTCCCTGCTGCTTTCAGAAACATACTTAGCTGACAGTTCCTCCCTATCTGATGTCTAAAATTACAAAGCTGGACTTTCAGAAAAGATTTTAAAGGGGAAGTGACTGTGATCCACTTTTCTCTCTGTCCTTAGTATGTGTTGCCAACCTATGAAATGGCAGTGAAGATGCCGGAAAAGGAGCCTCCACCTCCTTACATCCCTGCCTGAAGACAGCCTGCCTCTGTCCATAAACCTCCACCAGCCTGCCGCCTGGTTTGTTTGCAGAGTGCTGCAGTACAGGGCTGTTCACACTTCTTTGATAGAAATGCTTTCTGTGTGTGTAAGCATTTGTTTTCAGAACACTAAGAGCTTTCCCAACATCTATTAAAAGTATTCTTTGTTGTTAAGTCTGTATACTCTGACATAGTTTTTGAAGACAATCTAGATTAGGTGAGAACAAAGTGCCACTATTTTGCCTTTACTTGGGGGGTGGGGAGGGGTTCTTCTCCACGTATTTTCTTTTTTAACTGCACTTTCTTTATATAATAGTTAGCATTTTTGTTCTAGCTGCCCTGGGTTCTTTCAGGAAGGATGAATTTTAAATATTCAGGGTGAGTGAGTTGGATATAAGACCTAAAGTTTTCAGAACGGAAACCGGAAAAGTGTGTAACGTTTTGACTTGACCATGGAAGAAGATGATGTTTGCATGTTTCTCATTTGTATGTTTCCATCTTTGTGATAAGATGCTTTAATAAATCTCTTAAATATTTTCTGTTGTCATTTTTAAACGTGTATTATAGCATTTCCATTACGCGATAAGTTGTTATAAATGCCATTGCTTTCCCCTGAAGACCGTGCGTGGCAATATTCAGATATTCACCAAACTGTTCCATGACCTGTTCTGATGGTGAGATGACTTGAAACACGTGAATGTGTCTGGATACTGGCTTGATGGGTTCGCAGCCATTTGCCCACCATCAAGCTCAGTGGGCCTAACTGAGTATTCCAACCCCTAGGTGTAAAAGAGCTTGGTGGCACTGTGAGTTACGTGGCCTGTTAATTGCAAGCCCAGCAGTATAAATACATCGAGCTGATACAAGGCATGGGAGAGGAGACTGGCTGCGTCAGTAAAGATTTTCAGTCTTGGAGACCCTATATTGTGTTACTATGATTTTGGAACCAATTCAGTAGCAGTGGGTTTTGTTTTTAGTGGGTCATAGTGGCTTCCAATCAGTAAGTCCTTTGGAATGGGTTTACCTTCTGCAGCAAGGCACACAGACTGACACAGAGAAGTCGATGTGTGCGATCCTAATCCTTTCCAAAAGGAAGGGGGGATTTTGACTGTCACAGGGTCCTTATTGTAGCCAACAGGACGCTAGCAGTCACAGACACACAAACCTAATTGATGCTGTCTTTGTGACCCTCCTAGACAGGGAAGAACTTCCCCTGTGAGTTTCCGGGCCTGTAGCTTTACCGGAATAGAAAGCCTTTTCCTCCAGTGGAGCTGCTGATAGTTCCGAACTGCTGACTTTGTAGTTGACCACTGAACCAGTAACCACTATGTCACCAAGGTTCCTGGATCCTTGCAAATAAACCAACGTGTTTGCTTTCAAAAGCTGATTTTCGTCAGGCCGTGCTAGAAGAAACCGTTAGTTGTAGTAGGTTGCTTCATCTATGAGGGGCCTTCAAATGAAGTTCATGGGAAGATGAGATGAAAAGATAATGGGGTTTTTCCATATGTTTTTTGAAGCCCCTTCATATTTGGTTTTAAAATTCAGATAGATGGCACTGGAAGATAAAATGGTTAGTCTTGTATCTTAATACACAACTTCACCTTGAGAGGGTTGATAAGATTCTGGAATGCAGCCAGCTTACAAAATGGTCAGATTGCAATCCTAGCCCACAGTGTTTACAGAGGGAGCGCTGGTGATACACGGGGAAGCACTGGGCTGCTGCTCGCAGGGTCAGTGGTTCAGATTCCTAGTCACCGTATGTTGGAATTGACTCCAGGCAGTGGGTTCGCTTTGGGGTTGGGAATGTCCACGGGGACACGTGGGTCTTTCTCCCACGGAACAGCTAGTGAGTTCTAACCAAAGACCTTTAGGTTAGCCGCCAAGCATTGTCATCGCTGTGTTCAGGAAATGTGACATGCCATCCACGTTCTCTCAAAAATAATTCAGGATATCTGTACATGTGTGTTTGCCTTTGCTGCAAGTAGATCCGTGATTGTAGGGAAGTATACGGGGTGGGGTTGAGGAGCAAAGGTAAGCAAATTTAGATGTAGCCACACACCATGAGGGAATGGATTGCACCCTAGTCTAGGGAGACAAGACATGAAGGGCAATTAGCATAACTTGGTTCATAAAAACCATGTTCTACATTCTATTTTGGGAAGTTCTGAGTAGGGTCGGAAAAGCTCATGAGCACCCATCTAATGTATTTTTGGTACTTCTTTTGGTCTCACCATCCAAAGGGAAAGAAGAGTGATCCAAATGGAAAGACATTGAAACAATTAGCCCAATGGACTCATGGGTCACACAAGCAGCCATCTCCACCACCCTGAGACCAGAAAAACGTATCCGGCTACCACCCTCACCTGCTCTGCAAAGGGTCGCGTTAGAAGATCCTGGAGAGAACGCGCAGTCTTAAGATCAGGCTTCCTATTGGGTGAGCAGTTAATTGGTGAAATTCCCTAAGACACTCAAAATTTGAAACTCAACTCACCTTCATGTTAGTAATCAGCCATTTAAGGCCAAAGGGCAGCATTTATCCAGAGTTCAGAGGGTTACGAAGGAAGGAGAAAGGGAAACAGGAAACAAAGGGAATGTAGAGTTTACAATGGATGAGATGAAACAAAATATGTATGGATTATTGAAAACTCGTGATCTGTGTATTTGATGATTTGATTTTGTAATTTAACACCTGTCATCTTGAGTTGTGTGAAGTAGATGCCACAGCATGGCTACTCTACAGGACAGTGGAGCTGCCCCCATAGGGTTTCCTCTTTACAAGAGGAGCCCTCGTGGTGCAGTTGTTAAGCATTGGTCTGTTTACCGAAAGGTCGGTGGTTTGAACCTTGATGGACAATAAAATGTACGACTACAATAGTTGTTGAATATTTTCCAGCAAAATTTTACTTGTATGTGGTATGAATGGTATGGCTCTATAATTTTAGCATTCTGTTGTCACCTTTGGAATGGGTACAGATAAAGATCTCTTCTAGTCAGTTGGCCAACTAGCTGTCTTCCACATTTCCCGGCAGAGACTAGTGAGTGCTTCCCGTGTTTCATCAGCTTCCTGAAACATTTCAAGCCATCCATTCCTGGAGGCTTGATTTTGGCTAATGCTTTCAGTGCAGTGTGAACGTCTTCCTTCATACCATTGGTTCTTGCTCAAATGCTACTTCCTGAAATAGTTGGATGTTGACCGATTCCTTTTGGGACAGTGACCTGTGCATTCTTTCCATCTTCTTTTGATGCTTCCTGCATCATTCATTATTTTACCCATAGCATCTTTCAAGACTGGAATGTTCCTTGAGTTGTTGTGTTTCCAGTTGAAGGGTTGCGGCGTCGTTCTTCCCTTTTGGTTTCCTGACTCCGGGTAGATTTAACTTGTCTCTTATCGAGAAGGATGCCCTTGGAAATTTTCAGTTCAGCTCTTTGACTTCATCATTTCTTCCATTTGCCTTAGCAAGACTAGGAGGAAGTTTCAGAGTCCTCTTCTGACATCCACTTTGATCTTTGCTTTCTTTCCTGTATGATTTTTTTTATGCCTTCCCACAGCTCTGCTGGTCTCCTTGCATTAGTGTTCGATGTGTCAAATATATACTGGAGATGTTCTTGAAATTCAGGTGGGATAAACTTCCAAGGTCATATTTGGCTCTCATGAACTTGTTTTAATATTATTCAGCTTCAACCTGAACTAACACATGAAAAATTGACTTGTTTCACAGTTGACCCCTGACCTTGTTTTAGCTGCTGATAGTGAGCTTCTCCATGGTCACCTCCCAGAGATGCAGTAAACATGGTTTCTGTGGGTTCCATCTGTAGAGGCCCGTGTGTAATAGTCACCTTTAGTGTTTTTGAGAAAACATCTGTGATAAGTCTTTGGTCTTGAAAAATTCTCTCGTGCCATTTCCAGCATCTTTTTTCTCCTCAACATCATATCTTCCAACTACTATTCCTTTTGGTTTCCAACTTTTACATTCTAATTGTCAAAAGTTATGAATGCATCTCGATTGCATGTGATCAATTTTACAATGAAGACGTAAGGTTCTTCAGTTTCTGCATTTCTAGTTTTAGTGGTTGGTGCCTAAGTTTGAATAATAGCTGTGTTGACTATATTTCTTTTTATGGGCATAGATGTAATTCTGTCACAGACAGCATTGTACTTCAGTAAAGATCTTGAAATGCCATTTTTGACAATGAAGATGGCGCCATTCCTTTTGATTGTATCATTCCTGTATGGTTTTCTGATTCAGAATGGCCCATACCAGACCATGTCAGCTCACTACCACTTGGAAAGTCAACCTTGACATGTTCCGTTTTATTTTCACAACTTCCAGTTTTCCGAGATTCATGCTTTGTATATTCCAAGTTCTGATTGTTAATTGATGTTTGCAGCGGTTCCTTCTTATTTTGAATTGTGCCCTGAGTTAGTTAATTGTGCCAGCCTGGCCAATAATCACATGTGG